TGCTCAGTGTGCACTTGTGCAGGAGGGCCTTTCTTATAATCCAGAGACAAGGTGCTAGTATCACATGGTCCTGTGTACTAGTAATGAAAACTTCTGTACCCATTGAAACTCTGTCCTTTGGCTTCCTTAGAGTACACACACCCAGGCTGGTTGGTAGTGAAGAATAAGTGACACAGTATGTGCTTCAACACTTTGAGGCCAGGCACAGGACTGATAATAAATGTTACCTATTGTTAGACATTGACCTGGGCTAGCCAGATATACTTTGCACACAGCATCCTCCAAAGGAATTGAAGCAAATGTAGATTATGTCTCCCCATAGCCTAGCAAATGGTTACAGTGACTGCGTTTCCACGGTGGCTGCACAAATCAATACAGATGGCTGCCCGATCAATTCAAGTACAGTGTATCTGATAGACAGACTTTACAGGCCATGACACACCAATGCAGAGATTTTCCCAAGCCATGCAGCAGAATGGATTTTCACCGTTTTCTCCTCATTAGATCCAGAGTGCATATTTTCCAACACAGAACACATGCAAATTGACAACAGGCTTTTAAATGTAATCAAGAAGAATGAACTTGTGTAAAAGCATTAATTTGTCTTAGTTCTATATTAGGATTTCCAGAGTTCGGTGATCTGCATTTTCCTTTGGTGTTTTCTCTTTCTGGAGAAGAGTTTAAGTCAACTAAGAGGTGTTACCTCTGCTTCCCACTTGCAAATGAACCTGATGAGGGTCAGCTTGCAATAATGCCTTATTAGTAAAACCCCTTCTAGTTGAGGTAAGTTGACAGGCATCAAGATTTTGCTTCTGCTCCCTAGTTCCAAACAGGTTTGAGTGACCAGCATCTGAAATTTTCACCACAGGATGAATCCTTTGAATGAATCCAAACCATCCTAGACCCTGTGTAGTCTCTGCTATCTCCACAAACCTCCTGAGCTCTGCTTCCCTGGCAATGACTTGAAAATTAATTAAGTGATGCTTCAGAGTGACATATCTATTGCTTGAACATTGGAACCTTTTGTTCATGCTTAACTTTTCGGTACTAAGTGTCATTTTGTCATAAGTATATTGTGAGGGCAACTACATGGGATTGTATATTAATTTTTTAATTCAACTTGTATTTCTAATTATAATCCTTGAAAGAATTTAATATGGTAGTGTGCACATAGTGTATGTTCAGCAAATACTGGTTGGATTTTGATTAAAAGGTGACTTTTTAAAATGAGACTGTTAGGGCCTTAAACACACCAGTTCAATTAATGTGTCAGCCTGGAATCATTGGTCTGTAATCACTTCCTACTTCCACTTTACATTCTTAAGTGTACACTTAGAAATAGCAATTTAGTAATAGGAACGTAACACACTGCTTCACTAAAGGCTTTGAAAATAATGTATTAAACATTTAAAGAAAGAAGCCATGTTATTTTCCTAAGTCAGTAAGAAGGAAGTGAGCAGTAACATTACAGTAACAAACGTGTCCTGAGCAGGAACCGCGTGTCAGGCTTTGATATGCTCCTTCTCTCATCTGATCTTCATTCAACAGTGAACTATTCCTTATCCCTGTTTTACAGATGAGGGAGCAGAGGCGTAAAAAAGGTAAGCAACTTAGCCTTAGAACTTAGAGCTTCTAAATATTTAGAACTTACAAAGTTCTTACACATGTATTTCTTCGTTTGTTCCTCTCAGTAAACTCAGGAAGTAGGAATTCTTGGTAACCTTATAGTTGAGATAACAGAGCCAAGATGACTTGGGGCCCCTGCTCCTGTCATGGGCAGGGCCGTAACTAGTACATAAGACTGGTTTTTCCATTATCACATCTTGAACAATAATCGCATGAAGAGTTATCAACTTCATGGGGCTCCAACTTACTGCCCAGTACAAAGCAGAAATAGACACTACATATGTGTTTAGCAACATCCATTTGCTTCTAAAAGGTTATATTTGATGTTAGCTTATTTCCACATTTTGAACAGAAACTTGCATAAAAATAGCCTTGTATCCTTGGGTTCAGGCTACCAGATAGATATTGAGTCTGACCAGTGCAAAAGAAGGACAAATACCTATTGTTTCTTAATACATACATGCACAGCTACCATCTAAAATGAACATGAGGTCTCTCTGTCCCTTATTATGTTAGAGGATTTAGGTTTTTCAGGCAAAACTCTGTCTTTCCAGAAAGCAGAGAAGGAAAATGGAGAGGGAGGGAAAAAAGAATAAGAAAGCATGAGGTTGGGTGTGGTGGCTCACTCCTGTAATCCCAGCACTTTGGGAGGCTGAGGTAGACAGACCTCTTGAGCCCAGGAGTTGAAGACCAGCCTGGGCAACATGGTGAAACCCCATCTCTACTGAAAATGCAAAATTTAGCCAGGCATGGTGGTATGCACCTTTAGTCCCAGCTACTCTGGAGGCTGAGGTGGAAGAATCACGTGAGCCTCGGAAGTTGAAGCTGCAGTGAATTGTGATTTCACCACTGCACTCCGTCCTGGGCAAAAAGAGTGAGAGAAGAGGGGGAGAAGGAGAAGAAGGAGGAGGAGAAGGAAGAGGAAAGGGAGGGGGAAGAAGAGGAAGAAAAGGAGGGGGAGGAGGAGGGGGAAAGGGGAAGGAGGGGAAGAAGACAAGGAAGGAAGGGGAAAGAAAGGAAGGATGGATTAAAAAAAGAAAATGAAAAGAAAGAGAAGGAGGAAAGGAAGGAGGAGATCTTGGTGTTCTGGAACTTTCTATTGGAACATAGGTGCCACTGGCCTGTTGCAGATGTGCAGGGAAGCCCCAGCAGTGGGAGGATGCCCTTCATTCTTTCTTCATGCACTCACTGGAACAAACATTCATAAATGCTTGCTGTCTCACCAGGCGTTGCTCTTCTAGATGCCGAAGATAGAGCAGTAAACTAACCAGTCTCTGTTATCATGAGATTTGTGTTATAGTTGGGAGAAGTGCACAATAAGCAAAATAAATGTGTAAATTACAGGGTACATTATAAAGTGTTCAGGAAAAAAGCATAGGAGAGATGTTGAGAGTACAAAGGGTGAGGTTTGTAATTTTTAATAGGGAAATTGGGGAAGGCTTCTCTAAGAAGGTGGCATTTGAGCAAAGGCTCCATGGTGGTTGCAGGAGTCAAGTCTTGTGATCCTTGGGGCAGAGGGAACAGCAGATACAAAGGCAGGGGTGAGCCCTGTGTGTTTCAAAGATGGTGAGGAGGCTGGTGTGCCTGGAACAGGCCAAGGGATACCAAGAGAGGTGGTCAGAGAAATAAAGGGAATCAGGTGGGAAGTTCATAGAGAGCTTTATATCATACAAGAATCTGGATTCTATTTGAAAATTGTAGGAAAGTCTGAGAAGAAGCAGAGACTGCAGCTAGAAGGCTATTGCAGTGGTCCATGAGAAATGGGATGGTGGCTTGCAGGAGGGTTTAGCTGTGTGGTTGGTGAGAGTTTGGGATTCTAGGTAGACATTCAGTGCTATTGATATTCAAATACTTAGGTGCCAAGCACTGAGACCCAGGACACTGAACAGCTGGAGAATCTATGTCATTTAAGAGTGAGTGGATAACACACTGCCTGTTTGTGAGTACTACCTAGAGGGACCGATGCCGGGGAGGGGAGGCAATACTGTGTAGAAGGTTGCCTTTAGAGTTCCAATCCTGCCATGCCACATGCTGGGAGGGGGACCTTGAGCAGACTCATTTAGCCTCTGAGTCTATTTCCTTTCTGTAAAATGGAGAAGTGATGTCTATTCGGATACTTAAAACACATATAAATAACAAATACGGATTGCTTAGGACAATTACTATAATCAATAGAGAGATAACATTTGGACTCTTTTAAGTGGCAGAATAATGTTATGGTTAAGAGCTCAGATTCAGAAGCCATACCTCCTGCATGATCATGTACGAATTACTTAAATCCTGCATGCCTCATTTGTAAAAAAGGTGACACGCACCTACCTGAGGTGTTGTATTGACTAGCTGAGTTGGTATGCAAGCATGTAGAGCACTCCTTCCTAGTGTTGCTGTGAGTTCCGAGGTTGTTCAGAATCCCCTAATAACATTAGCTTATTTGGGTTGCATTATACCTATTTCTAGTCCATTTTTTTATTTCAGTGTTTTCTAAATCCAAATTTTGCCTAAATTGCCAAACAATGTCAGTTAAAGCAAACCCTTTTATTTGGTTCTCTGTTTATTCATCCCATGCAATCAGAGTGTCTCTTTAATTTCTTCTTGAATTAGTCGTGTTTACCATCAGCTCTGGAAATACATTCCAGCCTTCAGAAAGAAAACGACAATAGCTATAACAAGGTATTAGAGGTTGTATAAACTTGTCTTACTTGAAGTTAATGGGGAAAATATGGAGAAAAAAATAACGAGGGGAAATTTTGAAAATTGGGCAATGATGTTTAACCAAAATGACGTGCATCTCTGAATGTAAATGCATAACTGCGTTAATGCCTTGCCGGCTGCCTGCCATCCTGAGGTTTTATCACATCATAATGCAGTGATGAGGTATTTCTTTGCTTTTTTAGTTTTTCTACTTGCAGATGCCAACAATGATTATTTGTAATTTCAGAAATAAAGATGCTCAAAAGCAACATCTGTGGTTCCAAATTTTTCTGTGGGATTCAAAATGCATGTCTTATTCCTATTTGTAACCAGGGAATATTTGCAGTGAAACATAATTCCTGTGTACTTGATTTAGTTCTCGGCCAGATTGACTAAAAGGTTTTAAAATGGTGCCCATGCTTTCAGTATCTACATTTTGTGGAGTCTCGACCTTTTAATCCCTATTTTCTTTAATACAAATAAAAGAGTTTATCAGTTGATTCAGATGAGTGGGGGGTATGCCATGTAAATTTCAAGGAATTATGCACTAAATTACAGGACCCATTTGGGGGCTTAAATATTATTCTCCACTACACAAAACTGGCATGAATTTTATTTTAACTGAAATGGCACATAGTGGCAGGCAATTATTTTTGTTATTGTATTTCCTATCCTGGCCTCCAGAACCTAAGGACAATGAAAGGGGATGTTCATTTATAATTTGACCTCCAGAATTGTTCTTGAAATGCAATTTAATCCTCATATCAAGCAAAGTCTAATGCTGTATTTGCCAGTAAAATAGCCATTTGCATTTTTTATTGACAATACAAATTGTGTTTAATCAGGCAGTCAGCACGTTAGCATTTCCAAATGACTGAAGACCCATTTTTGTTCATCTATGTCCTGTTTTGAGTCAAATGCATTTTGTTGATTTTAATGATCATGGCACATAAAGTTGCTCTTTAACACTGTGCTTTAAAAAAAATGTCCAAGTGTCACATAGCTATATTTTCTTCTTTTTTTTGAATAATATTTTCTTTATTTACAAGTTAGAATCAACAAAGATAGTCCAGGAGACCAAATGGGGAGATGACTGAAACCCCCAGGGCCCCAAATGGAGCGAAGGAAAGGGAAAACAAGAGTAGAAAAAAAAATGTCAATCTAAAAAAAAGCTCCCCCTTCTTCCCTCCCCGTGGAGGCTGAAGGGACCAAGGCCCCACCCTCCCCCCAGCCTTACCTAGCTTAAAATAAATTAGAACAAACAACCTCAAATCAGGGTCCTTAGAAGTGAACAGAGCAGCTATGACCTCAGGTAACTCCAGGGGCTTTGCACACTTTCACCCTGTACCCCCTTGCCCTGCCCCAGTCATTCTGAATGGGGGATCTGTGTCCAAGAGATCACTCCCCAATGGGGCCTCTTGAGAATTCAGTCTTATTTTGTCCATGTCCCTCCTTCAATAAATGTCCCTCTATCCATTCCCCACTGCAGACCCAGCTCTCCTAGAGGGGGACAGGGCGGTAAGATGAAGTCATAGCAAAGGGGAAAGGGGTGGGTGGGGCAGGGTGGTCTAGGGGTCCGGTCCTGCGTAGCCTTCCTGCCCCATGTGGCCTGGCCCCTTAGCCTGAATCTGATTCACTTGTGTCTGAAGAAGACAGTGATGAAGAGGAGGAGCTGGAATCTGAGCTGGAGCTGGAAGCGCTGAGGTGTAATACTGCTACTTGCTGTGCAGAGGATGACTCTGTTTTCTCACTTGCTTTCTTGGGGGGCTTTTCAGTGGAGTTGAGCTGTCCGCTGACATCTCGTAACTGCTCTTCTAATTCCTGCTTTTTCTCCAAAGCCAGATCTTCCTTAGTCTTTCCCACAGGCTTCTTTCCCACAGGCTTCTTAATGGTATAAGGCTTCTGGGGTTTCTTACGTAGGCAGGAAAGGACATAGCGCTCAAGCTCTCTAAGTGTGGATGGCTTGAGTGTTTCAAAATCAATCTCCATCTCTTCTGGGTTTGAATCACGTAAAGAGGGCTCCCTGGCTTGGATTATGTGCACAACTCGGCCCAGCTTCTCTCCAGGTAATTTGTTGATGTCCAGGCTCAGCTGCCACTTTTCGTCATAACTCATGGGCCTGCTCTCTTCCTCCTCCACTGAATCATCACCTGTAGGCAGAGCAGGTGGGGCCGTCTTTGTGGCATTTTTGGGGAGGTTGGTGCCACATCCTCCAGAAGGTCCAAAGCCAGAAAAGCTTAAAGCAGTACTGCTACCTCCACTGCTGCTTGCTTTCTTGGACTTCTTGGGCTGAGGTGGGTGGGGTGCCTGAGGCCCCTTGTCATCTTCATCGGCCCCACCTCGTTCTAGATGCTTCTCTGTCTTCCGTTTCCTTTTCTCTTGTTTCTCTCTTTTCCTCTTGGGCTTGGATATTGGACCCTGGGACAGAGCAGCCAGTTGTTCATGTACTGCCCGAAGCTGTTCCTGCAGTTCTGCCAAGCGATGAGCCCTTTCTTCCTCTGAGTCTGAGCTTTCACTCTCTTCTTCTTCCTCAGAGGAGCTCTCACTGCTACTTTCATCAGTGGAGGACTCTGAAGATGATTTGACCACGCCAGGGGGCATGGCAGTAGAGACTGATAAAGGCCCTGGTTCCAGTGGTTCATCTGGCATCTTGGCATAACAGAACTCAAATACATCCTGTAGCTTTTGTGCCATTGCCACAACATTGTGATCTGGGGGATTGTACTTGTAGCAGTTGGAGAACATAAGCCATAGGTCAGCAGCAAACTCCTGTGCATGCCGGTAATCACGGTTCTCCATCTTCTGCTTGACAGTGCTGAGGTCCATAGGGTGCTTAATGATGTCATGGTAGTCATGCAGGCCAAGTGCAGAAGCATCCACTGGTTTATAGAAAGGCCAAGCATAGGCAGCATGCTTCTTAGAGAGTAACTCCTTCAAAATGCCATTGCAATACTTTAATTGTTCCGAAAGCTTTCCTTTGTTAGAGCTCTGGTGATGTTGCTGAGAGTCAGGCAAGTCTTTGCGTGGGGGCTTGATGGGGCGACCACTCTCTCTGCGCATAGGGGGAAGCCATGCTGCCTTAGGCTTAAGACTCCCAGAAGGGCTAGCTGGGGAATCAGGAGCCAGGATGGCTGTAGGTGAAGGGGTGATAGTATCTGCTTTCCGCTTTATACCCTTTTTCTTGGCAAGGGGCTGGGCTGGAGGAGCTGCAGTAACAGCAATGAGTGGGGGTCCAGCAGAGTGCAGGGACTTGAGAAGTGGAGAGGAAATGACTGATGGGTGGGGAATGTTGAGAACAGTGGAAGGTATATCAGGTGGTGGAGTACACAGGACTGTGTGTGACACAGAAGAGACAGCAGGCACCTGATGGGCCCTGGTAACACTGCCCTGGAGTGCTGCCAACTTGGCCCCCTTCTTGTGGCTATTCTTAGGGATGGTCACCACCAGCTCTTGTTCCTCTTGTGGCATTGATGCAACTTTCTGTAGGAAGATCTTTTCCAGCATTTGTGCCATTAGGACAATATCATCAGTGGGCTTGTTGTAAATGTAACAGTTGGTGAACATGCTATTAAAATCTTGCATACATTCTGAGGCAGTCCAGTAATAATTGTTTTCAAGTCTCCTCTTAATAGTACCCATGTCCATAGGCTGTTTTATAATTTTGTGGTAATTCGGTAGACCCAGTTTGACAGCATCCACAGGCTGCTGGAATGGCCATGCAAACTGATGTTTCCACAGAGCCTTCATCACTACCTTGTGTAGGTATTGCAACTGGTTGGTAACTCGTCCTGGCTTTTTGGGATTGGACACCTCTGGTGGTGGTGGGTTGGCAGGGGGCAGTTGCAAAGCAGGCATCGAAGCCATTGTGGGGCTCTCAAATCCCTCATACAAGCAGGAAGTCTTTCGAATCCTTTTCCCTGGTGCCGCTGCTTCTGTGCCCAGCCCCAGCAATCCTGCATTCCCTTCCCCAGGGAGCTTGTTGTGAGGACTCACGTTTTGCAGCATCTCAGCAGCGGTAAGTCTGGATGGCTTCAGTTCCCCTCACTGTCCGGCCAGGTCCAGCATCACCCGGTAAGTGGATGGGAGGCCGTTGCTCTTAGCCCTCCAGGCGACAAACCCCTTCCCCGCCGGTAGGAAAGCAGTGACTTCGGGGTCTCGTGGAGATCTTCGGACAGCTTGGCTGACTCTGCAGGCAGCGGACAGCAAGAAAATGGCGGCGGCCTCGGCTGAGGTGGACGACTAAGGAGGGACTGACTCTTCAAAACAAGACAGTCCCTGATCTCAGATACCGTCATCAGTATAGGCCGCTGTTGGTCTGCAGGGATCCCCTCTTCTTGTCTGGACCCTATGGGCCCGAGGAGGTCCCGTTTTGATCTCGGATGGAGGCGGATAAATATGAAAAGTGGTTTAGGGAGCAGCCGCGTCCATCCTTGAAATCTTCTGGAGGGCAGAGTAGAGGAGTGGACAGACTCCGAGGACTGGGTGGGGCTAGAAAAGGAGCAGCTTCAGGGGCTTCTATGGGGTCTGTACTGTCCGCTGGGACAGGTCATAGACCAGGATGAAGGCTATTTCCAAGCCCGTGGAGGTGGGTTGTAATGGCGGCCCAAGACAACTCGAAGGCTCTGTATTGGTAGGCAGACTCCTACGGCTGGCTCTATAGGCTGCTCCACTCCAGTGTAAAATGGCGCTGCCAAGGCCCGTGCCAGCCCTTTATATATAGGCAGACAGGAGGGGCTTTGCCGCTCATGCGCGCCCCCTGCTTGAGATTTCCCCCACCCTCTTCACAGGCATGCGCTCGCTCACGCGCATGAAGAAGCTCAGTGGGGGAGGAACACCTCTCCATAGGAGCTTTTCCTATTGGCCAGGGGCAGTGATGACATCATAAACTTGACTTCCAACGTGTCCGTCACCAGGCAGAAGAGTGCCACAGAAACCCACAGGGAGGTGGCAACCGGCCACATCTCCAAGCCAGTTGGCTGAGCTGTGGTTTGCAAACTCCAGGGAAAGAGAGCGGTTGGAAGGGGTACGGAAGCCATCGCCCCAGTGCCTCCAGCACCCTTTCCTGGTTCCCCTTCCAACAAAGTCTTCCCAGGCTTCCATACACAGTACAACTAGAAACTGCCAAGCTTGAACAGGTCGTGCCATTGGTAGCTCCTCTATTGGCTAGACCAGCAGGGAAACGGGAGGGGGTCGCGTGGGCGGGCGGGTGATGGTTCTTGATGGTGGGGCTGCTGCAGCTAAGAATCTGGATCCTAAAGCCTTCCAGAGGGCTTCCAAAGTAGCCCTTGGCTTGGTATGGGGTCATGTAATCCGGGGTGTCACCACCCCCCCCACAGGAAACGAAGCCATGTTGGGGGAGGGGGCGTAGTCCCCAGCTCCTCCCTTCCAGAGCGGGCTGCGGGGTGGGGAGACATCTGGCCTTGCTGCCATGTCAGCAGCACCCAGATTAGCTGACCGGGGTCTCGTGCCGGCTGCCCCCCATCTCCCCCAGCCACGAGGACAGGTTTTCCAAACGTTCCTGGGGGTCGCGCAAGGGACCAAGGAGTCCGCATGGCCAAGGCCTATGTTCTGAAACCCAGAGCGCTATAATGCTGCTGCTGTCCAAATCCCCAGCTTCCTATCCCACAGTCGTAGACTCTGTCCCCTAACTCTCCTCTCCGCACGCAGCATCGCTGCAGCAGCCCAGGAACACACAGCGCAGGCGCAAGGGTGCGTCCTCGTGTAGCTGTATTTTCTTGTCTCCGGAAGAAAGCCAGGAAGCTCTTAAATTCTTAAATTTACACCCTTAGGAGATGTTAGCCCAGCTTAGGAGAACAATTAGAACATGTTTCTACAAATTTATTTTATTGTTGAAAGGACTGTGGTGGGGTAGACATAGTTCTGAACCAGAAATGGAAAGGCTGCAGTTGGATGATTATTCCCAGAAAGAAATGAAAAGTTAGTTCTCTAGTTTCTAGCTATGTGACACCTCATTTGTCTGGGCCTCAGTTTCCTTATTTAAACAGGAAGGACAACAGTATTCTTTAACTTTCTCTGGGATGTTCATGAAGCTTTATCCTTTGAGAAGTACTGTTGAAGCCCAGCTCTACTATTACCAGCCAGATGACCTTAGGCAGGTTCATCAATCCCTGCCTCAGTTTCCTCATCTGTATGGTGGAGGCAATAATAGTACTTTACAGGATTTTTGTGAGTAGGAGTTACTATATGTAAAGTTTAAAACAATGCTTATAGTATGGGAAGTGCTGCTTATATTTGCAGTTATACCTTTGTCATTATTCTTATTAATAGCACCTTTGTCACAGGGTTGTTGTATGGACTAAACCAATTTATATTTGTAAAGTACTTGCAACAAACCCTAACATATGTCGTAAGGTACAAACATTTGGTATTGTGATTATTATTAGTTTACCATTTATTAAGTGCTCACTGCATATAAGATGTTATATCAGGAATCCTCACAGCAACTGGTGAAAGGACAGTTAGTAGCTTCACTTTTCAAAGGCCCCAAGTCATTAAGAGACTGTGCCACGTGAACACGCTGAGTGCATGGCAGAATAGGACTTGAACCCAGGGCAGCATGACCCCAAGGGAGATGCCCTTTAATGCCTATGCTTCCTTAGTCCTGTATTCAGGCCTCAGAGTCCTGAGCTTGGAGTCCACTTTAGATGAGGTTCTCTGTGAGCATTCCAGGCCCTTTTCCTGCCACACAGGATGGCACAGCCTTAGCCTGGCCTCCATAGACATCATGGTGACCTTGGCTGGGCCTTAATTTACCACTTAAACCCACTGAGACTGCTTGTACTTGGCCTGGCTTCCTTTACTGAGAGAGAATGGGAGTCCAAGGCTGGGGGTCTATTTTGGTTTCCCTTTCCCCCAAATACCTGCTTCAATTGTATCACTTCCTTTACTGCCTCCTCCAACCCTCTCTATCCTGTTATTCCTAATACAATGTGCATTGCCAACATAAGGTGTTAGGATAATGATGATGACAGTGATGGATTCTGGTATGTTTTGGAGAAGACATTCACATATAATGGTAAATATCCAATTTGTTTGCATTGGTCCACATAGACACAGATTATAATAATAACAAACATTTATTGAGAGTTTATATGTGCCAGAACTGTTCTAAGCAGTTAATACATATTACTTTATCTTATACTCACAGCAACACTGTGCAGTGGGTGCTAACACTGTCTGCAATCTTCAGATAAATCAACAGACCATAATCTCTAGGGAGCTGGAGTGGCTTTGAGAGGAGCCGAACTGGCTGATCCCTGAGAATTTAATTCCACTCATTTCTTCTTATCTGGGTCAATTAGTTGGTCACACACAATTTGCCTAGCACTGTGCTATTGCAACCAATGTAAGTGAGGTAGAGGAAGAAGCATAGGAAGGAACAAGCATGGATGGGGCATTTAATGTGCCCAGCATGGGACTACATTCTTTATATATGTTACCACATGTCCTGTTGACAGCAACTCTATAAGGTAAGTAAGTGTGCCATTCTCCTGTCAGAGATGACGATGAGAAACTGAGCCATTAAGTGAGTTGCTGTACCTTATATTGTTACATGGCAAAGCTGGGGTTTGAACTCAGGTCTTTCTAGGTGTGACACTCAGACTTTTTCTTGGGTTTCAGTCTCTCCCTCTTTCCTTCCCCTCTAACTTTAGGACTGTGGTGGTAAACAAAACAAAGTTTCTGCCCCTGGGAGGCTTACATTCCAGCCAGAATCAATCAATAAACAGATGAACAAAGGAGCAGATCATTACAGATTTGCAGGACATCAGTAGAGGAGGTGAGAGAGACCTCCTGGTCTAGGAAGTAAGTCCATTATTAGGGTACTTGGGAATGACCTCCCATTCCCCCTAGGGTCCATGGGATGGGAAGGAAAGAGCCCTGCAAAGAGCAAGGCAAAGAGAGTTTCAGGCAGATAAGACGGCAAGTAGACAGAACAGCAAGTAGACAGAGCAGATGCCTTGGAGTAGAAGAGGGCGTGGGATGTTTAAGGAACAGAAAGGAGGGCCATGTGGCTGGTGGGAGGCAGACAGGTCAGATCAAATAGGGTGTTGCAGAACAGGGTGAGAAGTCTAGACTTTATTCCAAATGTAGAATGAAATTAGCCATGTGACCTTGAACAATCCCTTTATAGCCTCAGTCTCCAGTTTTTTAAATCTATTATATGTGGGAAATAAGCCCTGCCTTATGTACGTTTCAGAGATTGTTGAAATATCAAATCTGGAGACTTTCTGGTCACAGAGAAAGATGGCTAATTTACCTAATACATTCATTTAACTGTGTAAAAGAGAGGAGTCATTGGAAGACTGATTGTAGAAGAAAGGAAGCTGAGCCTTGGAGTTTCGGAGGGTTAAGTCTCTCAGTGATTGGTAATAGTAATAGTAATAAATATTCAATAAATGATTATTCTACCAGAAACTAAAGTAAGCTCTTTAAATGCATTATCCTGTCCTCAGAACACTAGAAAGGACAGACACTGTTATTAACTCCATTTGATAGTTAAGAGACTGAGGCATAGAGAGGACGGGTCTCGGTATCCATGCGTTTGGATATGAATAACAGAGAACTCAGTGAGTGGCCTGAACAAGCAAGATGTTTATTTTTATTATATAAAAAGATTCCCAGATGGGTGTTGTGGCTCACACGTGTAATACCAGCACTTTGAGAGGCCAAGGCGGGCTGATCACTTGAGATCAGGAGTTTAAGACCAACCTGGGCCACATGGTAAAATCCTGTTTCTACTAAAAATACAAGAATTAGCCAGGCATGGTGGCAAGTGCCTATAGTCTCAGCTACTCAGGAGGCTGAGGCAGAAGAATCGCAAACACCTGGGAGGTAGAGGTTGTAGTGAGCTGTGATTGCACTACTGCATTCCAGGCTGGGCTGGGTGATAGGAGTATCTTTTTTTGAGACTCTGTCTTGGAAAAAAAAAAATACTCTTCAAATAAGCGCAAGGTAGTGCCTGGTAAAGCTGCTCAAGAAAGCCATCAAGAACCCAGGATTCCTCTGCCTTTCTGCTACCTCATCTTTACCGTGTAGTTTTTACTCTTTATGAGCTTAAAGTGACTGCTGCAGCTCCAGTTTTCTCATCTTAATGCCAAGTCAAAAGGAAGTGCAAGAGACAAAAGAAGAAGAGCAATTGTGGGAAGGGTAAAAGGCTTCAGTTTGTGAGAATTTGTCTTTTGGAGGAAGAAAGCCTTTCTCAAGTATGTTTTCATCTGTATCTCCTTTGCCTCCAACTGAGGCACATGACCAACCCTAGCTAACCAGGAAGCAGGATTCCACTATTTCACTTTCTAGTCTCTACAGAAGGCAAAGGTTAGAGAGAAGGGTGTTAGGAGAGATGTTGGGTGAGCCAGGCTACAGAACTTTTCCCACTCACACAACTTGTAAATGGTGAAGCCACATGTTTCAACCCAGTCTTTTTGACTCCAGAAGTCTTATTCTTAACCGTGGTGTCGTACCGCCTCCCTATTGGGCAGAGTCTAGGGAATCTTAGACAAGTTTTTAAGCCTCTCTATGCCAATTTTTAAATTTGTAAAATAGGAGTAATAAGAGTATTTAATAAGTTTACTGGGAGGGTAAAATGAGAGTCCTCATGAAACAATGACCACAGTGTCTCTGGCATATGTTAAGTGCACACCAAATGCATGTTAGCTGTTCTTACTCTTATATTGTTATTGTTATTTTATTTTATTTTATTTTATTTTTGAAACAGAGTCTCACTTGGTTGCCCAGGCTGGAGTACAGTGGTGCGATCTTCGCTCACTGCAACCTCCACCTCCCTGGTTCAAGTGATTCTCCTGCCTC